TCATCATTCTAAAATGTTCCTGTGTGAATTTTTTATATATATTAAAATACACTACTGTTAAAAAGTTTGGCATCAGTAAGATTTTTTTTATGTTTTGAAAGGTCTCTTATGCTCACAAATGCTGCATTTATTTAATCAAAATACAGTAAAAAAAAAAAGTAATATTGTGAAATATTACAATTTAAAATAACTGTTTTATATTTATATATATATATATATATATATATATATATATATATATATATATATATATATATATATATATATATTAGGGGTGGAACGGTACACAGAAGTCACGGTTCGGTTCATACCTCGGTTCAGACATCACGGTTCGGTACGATTTCGGTACAATGGAGGGAAAAGCATAACAAAAATGCAGAAGGCATTGTATTTTTTAAATAAGTTTTATTAATAAAGGCATAGAACCAGTTTATTTGTAGTGCACTGACAATAGTTTTATATAATTCGTTTATTAATTAAATTAATAAAAAGACAAAAAGACCTTGCGATATGTTTGGTAATTGTACCTGAATTAATTTAAAATTAATTTGCTATATTTCAGATAAATATATTTGTTTACCTTAATTTTAATTAACATTATTAATTAACAATGTAACATTATTCTCATCTGAATTATAAATAATTGATTTCTGTATAAAATAATACTAGCATTAAAAACGCATTCGATTTTCTTTTTTAATCAATGTAGAATGTGTAAGATTAGTGCTCCGAGGACAAGAAATGAAAACCAATGCGATATGATGAATGTCTAAAAGATGGGACCCACAGAGTGTTTTGAAATGGAGTTGGATAAATATGTTTTGCTTTTAAAACAGTGTGTGTGTGTGTGTGTGTGAGAGAGAGAGAGAGAGAGAGAGAGAGAGAGAGAGAGAGATTTTGGTTGGGTGACAGTTGTGGGTTACAGTTTGACAAGAGTTTACAGTGTGACAAAAGCACAATGTTGTGTTTTATTGCGAGTGTACACAAATATAAGTAAACACTTTGCAGGTTTAATGATCTGTATGAACAAAATGACGGAGTATGTTTTTTATGTTTCCACTGTTCGATCGAGGCCGCGCCTCTCTCTCTCACACACACACACACACACTCCAGCATTGCAATCTTGACATCGCAGCCTGTTCATTATGCGGTCACACCAAACGCGAATAGAGCGTTAAATTCGCGTCTATCGCGTCTAGTTCGACGCTAGTCCAAAGCGAATAGGACGCGCGTATTAAGCCAACGTTTGAAGTGAACGCGCGTTCAGAGCTAAGCCGATGGTAGCCTACAGATTATGTGTCCCTAAAGAACCCGCGTATCTAACGGTAGTTCCGCATTACATTAATTAATTTTCACGCGAGTTTTATTTATTTTTATACCGTGTATTCTCCGTGTAAATTCGTGCACCGAACCGTGACGCCCGTAGGCTTTATTTACAATAACTTAAAATAAACAAAACACTCAGGAACAAATTCTTCAACATTAACAGAACAACCAAGCATTTTGCGACAATAACGGACAAGAACAAAACACAGTCCCAATTCGCCTACTTATACTACGCCCTAAAAGTATGCACTCTTTTTGTGAAGAAAAAGTAGGTACATACTTTTGAGTGTGTAGCAAAAGAGTAGGCAAGCTTTGGGACATACTACTTCGTCATCTTTAACGGACAGATCTGTCGCGTGCATCCTATCACCGTAAACTGCCCTGTCAATCATCTTTTCACAGTTAAAATCCTCCATTCAATCTAATTTAATTTCCTACCATTTCGGAGAGAAATTGTGTAGCACGTTTACCTGCCAGTCGTGGGTCTTTAATGAGGAGACTCTCCTCATGTGTTTGCAATTTGAATGTAGGCTATGCATGTTAATGGCTATAAAAGTATCTTTACAAAAGTTCACAATGCTGCTGCAAATGCAATATAACGTAGCCAACATTGAATAAAAAAAATTTCGTCAGGTTAGATACTGATAATTAATCACTCAAACCCCTTTATCTAAACCTCTACATAACCGCCGGACACAGACATCCTCCATGTCTGTGTAGTTTTTTTAAAACACTTTTCACTCGTGTTTATAGTTCTAACCGAATCCTCGTCCAACGCGCGATGGGTTGAGGGCAACATCAGCCGTTAGAGTGTGCATCGATCTGCACTTCGGATTCTGACCGGAAATAGTAGACCATCCGGGTATCTTTGGAACACTCATTTCAACATACTACGATTTGGGACGTACTAATTCTATTTTCGAATACTATTTAGGACGGATAGTATGCGAATTGGGACGCAGGGCTTATGGTGCGTTCTATTATTTATCCGTGTCGGAGTTCCGACTAGGAATACAGACGTTGCCTATAGCAACACGCACCAACACGCCCCCTTTCCTCTGATTTTTCCGCTCGGATTTCGGACAACCGTGAGGACACCGAGCAAGAATTCTGATACGGAATCCAAGATGGCTGCGCCCCCTGTGACTTAGTATGAATTGTTTTCATTGTTTTTGGAGATTTTAATCACTCGTATTACTGCAATACCTTACTGCGTCCGTATCACTGCCTGTGGGAATGGGAATCGGTCTTGTTGGGAGTGCAATATTGAATGAAGCCTTGTTTCAAACAGGTGTTACTAACGTGGCTAGCGTTGCTAACAGAAGATAAACTAAAACATGAAATAAAGTGAAAATTTTTGAAGTTCAAATGGCTGAGTTTTGATAAGCGCCTGGTACTCGGCCAGTGCTACCATAGCAACAGCTTTCCGGGTGGCGTCCATGTTTTTTCTCCGACTCGGACGCGCAAAACATACCAGACCGCTTGAAGTGTGGAAATGGCGTCATATCCGAGGGCCGAGTCGGTTCGTTGACAATAATAGAACGCACCATTAAATAGAACAAACTAATTAATGAATTAAACAACAGGTGTAACTGAAACAGTAACCAAGGCAACAAACACGGAAATGAACACAGACGGGACAAACTAGAACAAAGGAAACATGCTCCTAACACAGGAATACTGAACATGACCCGGACATTCGATTTAATGTGAACGGCTGAATAAAAGTATTTCAGCTTTTTCAAGTATTTCTTAAAAAATAAAAAATAAAAATCGTATTGACCCCAAAGTAGTGTACCGTATATGTATGTAAATATTGTTGTTCATTATTGTATATTGTTCTGCTTGTAAAAAAAAATTCTGAAATATAATTCTTCCTTATGTTAATTTGGTTGAGAAGAGTGTAGGGAAACTTGCCTTGATTATTAATCGTTCTAAGGATAAAAAAAAAAATAAAAAATTAGAACTTGGGTGCAGTGTGAACAACCCATACATTTTAGTATAGTTGGGAGCACAAGGAGGCTATTTTTTTGTGAAATATGTATGTAATGGTAAATTGACTTATGTCTGTGTATGTTTACAGATTACACAATGAACTTTGGTCATTATAATAAAGGAAACAATCTACACAGTGTCATAGGCCCACACATACAACCTCAGTCATGATGCACATTTGCTCTGACACAGAGTACACAGTGTTTGTCTTGGTTGTGCTGGTTGAATCAGCCACTGACTCTAAATGCTATCCCTTTGATGATTTAGAATTTAGAAAATTTGCACTTTTATAACTATGCAAAGGCTTTGTTATGGAGCTGTGATTCAGGCAAATGCCCAGAGCTCATAAAATTTACAAACACACAGTAAAATTTGCAACAATCAAGAACAATAACAGTTGATAATTATTTTTCCAGCACTTCAGCTTTGGCTCATGCAACGGTACAGATATTGCTATTTTGAGCAATTAATTATGTAAACAATATCATTCTGAGGCTACACTAAAAATATGATACTTTAAATTAACTCAACTCAATTATGAATTGTGGTTTCACATAATGGAAAAAATTTTTCTCTACTCAAATACTTCATGTATTATGAACTGAGTAACTTGTCTAAATAACATGTTTCAATCAAGTTCATCCTACCTAAAGTATTTGAGTAGAAATAACATGTTTCAATCATATGGAACCACTGTCCATGATCTAATTGAGTTAATTTAAAGTAAGATATTTTTGAGTATAGCTGACAATATAAACACATAACAAGCTTAACATAGCTCTCCTTGTTGGGTGTTGCATCATGGTTACATCCATGACATTCTCATAGCAGTGGCTTATTTTATTAAAACAACTTAAATTCTTGTTAGCGGGTCCCAACCAAGCACATGTTCTACACTTCACCAATGGTGTCTCCCTATACAGAAACTCTTCTAAATACCAGCATAATAGAACATTAAACATTAACAAGTCTCCCCATTTTATTATGTTGATTAAAAATGCATAAATATCACTTTATTTCATTGTTTACTCTCCCTATCCAGTGCAAAACATGATGGGAAATCCTGTTATTTTCAATAATGCTACTTTGACACAACTAAAGTTATTCATGTAGTCTTAACTCAAATGGATTAAGTGAAGTGGTTAAACTTGATGAAATTAAGTTGTGAGAACATCTTGAAAGAATGATGTTGGATTAACTTGTTTTATTTAAGTAAATTGAACAAGCAGCTACATTTATTTTTGACCTACTTGATTGAAACATGTTCTTTCAAAATTAAAAAATTGAGTTACCCTCAAATCAGTTTAACACCATGCTACTGTGTTTGATTTTGAAACAATGGTGTTAAATCAAAATAAATTGTTTAAATAAAGTGAACAGTATAAAACAAAATAAAAAATGTAGTGTATGTAACAGCTAACACAAAATACTAACTCTAAATACTGTACAATTAATCCCATTTATTGTTTGTTTTGTGATAACAATTCCACTATAATGCTAACAGAAGACCATAATGCAGTTTGGAAATAGAATTGGTTAGCATTGCTAATATTGCAACATGCCTCAGTTATGCTTTCATGGATGCTAACACAAAGTATTGATTTATGTTATTGCTTAGTACAAGGGTTAATAATAGACAAAAGAGTCACTAATAATGTTTTCTTTCTTTCTTTCTGCAGACATGAAGCCTTTTTTCCTGCTTGCCACATTATTGTGGTGTTTAGCTGCAAATTTCTCCTGGGCAGCTAAGATAGTGGTAGTTCCTCCAATTATGTTTGAGAGCCACCTGTATATCTTTAAGACCCTGGCCTCTGCTCTCCATGCTGAGGGCCATGAAACAGTTTTCCTGGTCTCCGAAGGTCGGGAGATCCCGCCTTCCAACCATTATCGTCTCCAGCGCTACCCTGGAATCTTTAACAGCACCTCAGCTGACGACTTCCTCCAATCAAAAGTTCGCAACATCTTTTCGGGGCGTCTCACAGCACTGGAGCTGTTTGATATCCTAGACCACTATTCTCAAAACTGTGATGCCGTTGTTGGGAGTGCTTCTGTCATGGAGCAGCTAAAACATGAAAGTTTTGATCTCCTGCTCGTTGATCCCAATGAGATGTGTGGATTTGTCATTGCTCACATCCTGGGTGTCCAGTACGCCGTATTCAGCACAGGATTGTGGTACCCTGCGGAAGTTGGGGCGCCAGCACCTCTGTCTTACGTCCCAGAATTTAACTCTCTGCTAACGGACCGTATGTCATTGTTGCAACGGGTAGCTAACACAGCAGTGTACCTGGTTTCCAGGTTTGGTGTCCAGTTCCTGGTTCTACCCAAGTATGATCGCATCATGAGGAAGTACAACATCCAGCCATCGGTGTCCATGCATGATCTGGTTCAGAACAGTCGACTCTGGATGCTGTGTACTGACCTGGCACTGGAGTTCCCACGACCTACTTTGCCACATGTTGTCTATGTTGGGGGCATCCTTACCAAACCCCCCAGCCCCTTGCCACAGGTAAGAAAGCAATGTTTTTAAATTAAAAAAATTCTCTAAACATTGCTGTTACTCCGACTATTTTAGTGTCATGACTTAGGGATGCACAAGATATTGGTACCATAATAGGGTGGCCCAGTAGTGCACAGCACAACAAAATTTTAAAGCAAACAACAAATTTTGTTGATCCAGGAACAACATGTAGTCTTAACCATATCCGGTAAACCTAACCCTACCCATAAGTTATCCCTAAAATCAGAGGCAAATTATGGCGAATAACACTGATGTAGAAGCACCAAACCCTGATTGTAAACCTAAATTTGACATAAACTGTAAACTTGTCCCTCAAATCTGATTGGTTGATTGCAATGTTGTTCCAAAATAAACAAAGATTTTGATCCAGGAACATGTTGCACTTGGTGAAATCAGGTTCTGCGTTAGAGTTGAATGAGCCAAGCCAGAATACTGAACTTCACACAGAACATTTCATAGTGATATTTCTTGGCCACCATAGAGGGCGCATTAATGCTAACATTCTGGCTTTATACTAGAGGTAGGCTAATGATCTAATGAAATCCAAATTTTGAACAGTTTTTACTATACCAGTACCTGGCTGAGAAAGGAACGTTGTGCCATGGCTTGGTTCCATTGTGTCATGGCTTCATTTTGCTATGTTGTAGCTTATTTTCGCTGTGTTAACTTATGGTTTTATTTTTTTCATTGTGTTATGCACTGCTGAGCCACCATAGATAGCATTTACTGTCAGAGAAAATGTGCAAAGATTGTACCTTTAGGGCTACAACTGCTTGTTACTAAGGCTGTACTCTTAAAGGGTCATCTATGTAATCCATCTTGTAATCCAAATTTACAGAAAATCCATTCTGTCACCTGATGGAGGTTTGGTTCCTTGCCACTGTTGCCTTTTGGCTTGCTTAGCTGGGGACATTTAATATTCAACTATATTATTGATCTGCCTTAAGGTGGATGATGACGCAAGTTTCTTCTAGAAACAAACTTTGTAGTATTATTTTCATGTTATCACTGTGAAGCTGCTTTGATACAATCTGTATTGTAAAAAGCGCTATATAAATAAAGGTGACTTGACTTGTTTACCTGTAAAAGGTCTGTAGTCGAACCTTAAGAGTATATATTATTACTCTAAGGCAGTGACATAGGCAGAATTGTATTTTCACTAATATATATTGGATCCATGCATTTAGTATTAAAGTGAAAGCAGGCTAATATTCCTGCTACCGTTTTTGTTCTATTGTTTATTTGTTATTGCTTGCAATTTGTTTATTTGTTCTTATTGTATTACTGAATGTTCACTTGGTTAAAGGTTGAACTTTATATTAGGCTGGTAGTTTTCGTGACATTTCACTGGTATTTAAAATGTTGGTGTCATAAGCTTATTTATTAGAATAACTTATTTATTAGAGTTACATGGGTCAAAAACACTGAAAACAATAAAATACAAATATTAATAATAAATAATTTAATTAATAAAATTATGCACCTAAACAACAGCATATAGCTCGGCGACTATACCTTTTACATAAGTCTTCGAGGGTGATTATTAAAAATGTAGATGTAAGCATAGTCCAGAGAATCCACAAATTCCTGTTCAAAAGGCAACAGGGAAAGATTATTTGATTTGATTTACTTGATTTGATTCTTGAGAAAATTCTTTCGACACATCAAGAAATCAGACAGTGTGATCATTATCTTTTACAGTCTAGACTAGAGAATCATGTTTGGGAAGACATCAGGGGCCCTATCATACACCCTGCGCAATGCAGCGCCAAGCGCGACGCAATCGCTTTATATGATGAACAGATTCAATTCAGGCTTTTATTCACATATAAACATTCATCAACGCACACATCATTGGTGGTAATCGGAGGCTCAAGCATGTTCACTTGATCTGCAACCATTGAGGTTCATTCTTGTGTGTTACGCAGCACACTTTTGAGCTTCCGCAAAAACCAATGAGGTTTGTTCTCGCACACCAAGCAGGTTCGGTTGAGCTTCTGTTTATGTTCGCTGATCAATGTTAAAATGTGAATGAAAGCCTAAATTCAATCTGTTCATCATAAAAAGCATTAAGTCTCTTCAGAAAATGTGGACTAAACCGCATATGCATTAGTTTTACAATCTCTTTATGAACTTTTAAAGCGTCAAAGGTGTAGTTCCGTAGCTGTCAATGGAGGGACAGAAATCGCTCAGATTTCATTAAAAATATGTTCATTTGTGTTCCGAAGATGAGTAAAAGTCTTATGGGTTTGGAAAGACATGAGGTGGGTGAGTAAATGATTTTGGGGATCATTTTTGGGTGAACTAACCCTTTAATCCCTATTGATTTAGTCCTGGAAAGATGAAGAAGGCTCAGATTTAGATGCCATTTTTTTTATCCTTCTCACTCATCTTTTAGTGATATACTGGAAAACCACAATATTGAAATTTGTGCACCCGCCATCACCACATTTAATTAAGGCACAAAGAAGATGACACCATACGCTACGCACAACAAATGACAAAAATATTCAATACCAACATGTGTTTGTCTGCTCCACAATCGACTGTTAGGATACATTCCAAGTTTCCTTGTTCTTTCAGTGCATTATGTGCACATGCAGTGCTTTTGACACTTGAGTTCATGAATGCTAATAAAATTACGTCATTATATGGGGATCGACTGACGCAGGAACCTCATTTTCATTTTCATTTAAACTTTAATAGATCTTCAGCCTAACAAATGCCACAACCCACTCCCTCAACAAGTGACCTTGGTCCACCTTCCACTTATTCATATTCATTAGGCTTGATGTGGTGAAAATGTGCAAACATTTTTTTTTTATATTCTAGTGTATGTAAGTCTGGAAAAATCTAGTGTATGTAAGTCTTATGTTCACTCTCATTTCACCCGTAATTATATGAAGTTTAGATTTTGCCACCAGGGCGTTATGCTCACAAAGGTCGTTCTTATCAATGCGGGTGATTGCGTGGAGCTGTCCATTGAATAGGAGTGGGGGTTCTAAACCTAAGCTTGCACTGTTGGAATACCAAGCGCCCAAATGGCCTCATTGTATGCTGTGGCACCATAATGCAAATAGTGTTTGTCAGTGCAGAGTGTGTGTGTGTAAATGTGCCCATTGTCGGGTGTGTATGAAGGACACTGAGACCAGTGTGAGGGGTGGACAGTTAGTGCCAGGCCAATGCAGGCTGTTCAGCTGCAGCTGGACTGCTTCAGACAGCAAGAAAGCAGTTCTTACACAAAAACATGCTCATTCTGAGGCTATGCTAACTGCTAACACAAAAGGCTGAGTCTCATTAGTACTATAATTTTTTGTGCTAACAATTGCACTATAGTGCCAACAATGCACTTTTATCTTACCATAATGCACTTTCAGTATGAGTGTCTAATATTGTAATAGGCCTCAGTCAAGCTTTCATAGATGCTAAGATGATAACACAAAGCTCATTCAAAAAATGGCAGATACAAATCTGATATTAAAGCAATGTTTAATATAAAAGGGTGGTTCTTCAACTACAGGCACTTTTGGCCTTGTGAACTTGAGGGGGAAAAAAGTGTTCAAATCAAAATTGTTACAGTCTAACAGTTAAATATAACTAGTCTAGTTTAATGATCCATAAGCGAACGCACTTACATTATAAGACAAATTGGTGTTTTTTGACATATTTTCCGATCCGCACTGAACAAATGTCATTTCCATCACATGTAAATATTTGATTATTATTTTAAAATATTATGATATAGAATATTTCTTAACAGTGTAAGACCACTTTCACTCATAGTATTACCAGTTTATACCTATATTGCAAATACCATAGATTTGTGGATTAAGTAAATTAATTGTCATGAAGCCCAAACACAAAGCTTACATCCACCACAACTTGAAATATAATATTGGATTGGTTAGATACATTTAAAAAAAATAACTACTAGTGTTATTACATTAAGTGGACCATTATCCCATAAACTATGCTGAAGTTTTTAATGAGTAATTAGAATTTTGTATATATTTTTTAAAAAGTTATGAGGGGGTGGAAATGACTGGTTGTTGTGGAAATGACAATGAATGGACGTCCATGTAGAAAAACAGAAGACTTTTATTTGAAACTTTCTGAAACAGACAATTCCATTTAACAAATCAATAATCTCATTAGTCATTAGTTTGTTTGGTTCTGTTTTGGTATAGGACTGAGACCTTTCTGCAGTTGACTTCCGCGGCATCTTAAAAATAGATGAAAAGGCATTTCAACAAAATATATTTGAATAAATACATTAGCATTGTACATTTCAATAAATAAAATATACATATAGCCCCACAATCTATGAATTGCACCTTGTAAGCATACATGTAATTTCCACCTCACCTTTGTCATTTACACCCAAGAAGGTATGTGTTGGAAATGACGGTGGTGGAAATGACAATCCTGCAGTATTTTGGAAAAAAATCCAAGCTAGTATTACAGATTAGCTATGAATTGGTAGCTAGCATTGCATGCACGCAAAATACATCTATTTATGTTAAAAAATCTATTTATTTACAAACTCAATTGATCTTACGCCATGTTTGGAAATGACATACAATAAAAATATTTTCATTTCAAGCAATATTTACCTGGAGTTTTCTTCTCCAAGTTGGTGAATAAATTAAAAGTCTCCTCCATGTCAGACATGTGCTGTGATGTCATTGTTCATCTCCATAGAAACTACCCAAACAATCTTTCAAAAAAGCCTTTTAAAAGGGACATTACATCGTTGTGGTGGAAATGACGGCAATACTGTGGGACAACTACATTTTGTATATAAAATCACATTAATAGTTGTCTGACCTTAAATACCACAATTATGTTTTGATTATTTTACTGATACTTTATACAGTCATATTAAAAAAAATAGATAAATCATTTTTTTTACACTTCTTTTTCATTATTGAAGATCAGAAGTCTGGGTGTGGGACAAGCACAAAACAGCAATATTTGCATCTATAATGATATTTAAAAAGGTGAAAAAATCATCGTAGACTACCGGTAAAAAGTTTCTAAAGTACTTTCATTGTAAAGTTAACTATGAAATTTGTGAATTTTTCAAAATTAAATGTTTTTTATAAAATATGATCAAAGGACATGAAAGTGCCCATGGTCTAAGAATTGCCCAAAAATCAAAAGCCTAATCTCCCAAATATGAACCAACCATTTAAAAGTATTTTAAAAGTTAAAATATCAAACTAAATACGTTAACTTTATATTTTGAGCTGTAAATTTGTTTAAATACTCTTTGTGTGTGTGTGTGTGTGTGTGTGTGTGTGTGTGTGTGCATACTTTTCTAGGTGACTAAACTTCTGGTCATGTTTGCTCCATGTAAACAGTGCTTTACAGATAGTAACTCCCTGTCCCTTTTCTGGTAACTTCTGGCGTGAAAGTTACTAGGTTACTGATATGATGTCGTCATTAGGTTCACAAAGTTAAAAGATTGAATACATCTGTACATAAACAGTCTCAGTAAATATTAATTAGTAAATGACAATGTTGTAAATTAGTAAATAAAGGTGACTTTATTTGACATTAGTCACATGTAATATATAAGTCTTATGGCTATAATTTTAAAACAGTGTGTGCTTCAATGTTTATCACTGTATATATAAATATACAGTATATATATTTATATAATTTACATTTTCATTAGTAATTCAAGATTTCAGTTAGTGAAATTAATTTAAATATTATTCCATAAAAAAACAGTTAACCCAAAAAATCACCATCATCGTCATTGTTATCATCTCTTAAGCATTAGTCAGTCATATGAAGGTTTTTTTTAATGACAGAACACATTTTTATTTAACAAAATATCTTTGTGTGACACAACTGTCACAAAAAAGTCCAGTTAATTTTTTCACTTTGGAGCTGAATATTAGCCATACAGTGTTTTCTTTTAGGCCTTACTTTGTGGTGTTCTGGTTTAGGTGGCTTATTTTACGGTTATCTTTAATACAAGAGAAGTGTTGTTTGGTCAATATTCTGTGATTTTTTTTATGTGTATGTTACAGGGTTAGTTCATCCAAAAATGAAAATTATCCCATAATTTACTCACCCTCAAGCATAAGTGTATATGACTTATGACTCGCATACAGCCGTTACCGGAAGTCAGTGAATAGAGTTTATTAGGTTATAAATATGGATTTTTTTTAATATATATAAAAACGCATCGCTTCACTTCAGAAGGCCTTTATTAACCCCCTTATGGATTACTTTTATGATGGATGGATGCACTTGTTGGGCTTCAAAATGTAAGGTACCCTTCACTCCCATTGTAAAGCTTGGAAGAGCCAGGATATTTTTTTAATATTACTTTGATTGTATTTGGCTAAAAGAAGTCATATACACCTAGGATGGCTTGAGGGTGAGTAAATTTAAAAAAATTTAATATGCTTCCTTTTTGATTTACCCAGTGTTGGTTATTAAAGCAGAATAAAACCATTAAAACCACACTGGTTATATTCTCCAGATTGCTCTCTGTTAATGTGCTAAGGTTGAACAAATCTGGTCCTTGAGCTAAAATGAGTTTGACACACCTGGTCTAAAGTCTACACAGCTTAAAAAAGACACTTTTTTATATTATTTTTTCCATAGTAGTTTTCATTACCATTGCAACTATTTGAAAATGCCATTTCTCTGTGGTTGACAAAATATGAGGTTTTGAGAAAAACAGGTTTCGAGAAATCTTATATGAATAGTTCAGGTTGAGGGATTCTATGGCAAAGTAGCTTGAGATATGTCCACACCTTAAAACAATTTCATATTATGATCAAAATGTTTTCACTTGTCTAGAATTGAAAGTTGAAAGTTAGTTTTGTCCCTTTGGACAAACTAGGTTGCAACATGCTGGTGATCACTCATACTGCATTTCTACGTTATCAGACTGTAACACGTTGATGTAACAATGTTAGGTTTATTAGTCATATAAAATGATGATTTAGAGTCAAATTAAACTTTTTTTGATTTATATACAATCCTTTGAAATGTTTGGTCTGGCTTTTGATTTCCGTGTAATGTTGAATTGCTTTGTCTTGTGAAAATAGTCATCACAAATTTCATAGATGGACTGTTGAACTGTGTTGTATTTGATCTGTGTGTGTACAGGAGTTTGAAACCTGGGTGAAGAATACAGATGAACATGGTTTCGTGGTGGTGTCGTTTGGTGCAGGAGTGAAGTATCTGTCAGATGACATTGCTCAGAAACTTGCTGGAGCCTTGAGCCGTCTACCCCAGAGAGTCATTTGGAGGTACTGCCATTCATTCCTTCATTCAAGTGATCGGTGAACCATTTTACCAACAGATCAAGTCCCCTGCGTATCATTCCATTAAAGTTTTTTCTATCACAAAGTATCCATTGGCAACTGATATGGTGGCGGGCCACTGATAAGCCTGTGGCTACAACTTAGGCTACTATTTTGTTTTCCATTTCCAAACCAGTAAACCCTCATTGAAAATGATCTTATGGTTTGTTAGACTTTCCAGTGGTTCCTAAATGCAAAACTTCATGATACATGAGATGTAATGGTCACAGGTCATGATCCAGTGATATAGAAATCTGAAAAAGACGATCTGCAAAAGATTATGTAACCATTACTCTGATCATCATTTCATACTTGAAAACTTTTAGAAATACACATTCATTACAATGGGCTCAGAGACAAATGGTCTCTAAAATGGTATACAAATTGCCTTTGAAACCCTCACATTAAATTATATAGGAATTGTGCTTAATAAGAGTAGTTCACCCAAAAATAAAAACTTCTGTCATTATATACTCGTCATAAACCCATATGACTTGAAACTTTTAAAGATTTTTACTGATTCCTTTTTTAATTACAATAAATGGGGACTATCTACAAGTAGTTCATATTGCGTGCTATATTCCAAGTCATCATATGAGCTTTATGTGAAAAATAGACCAACATTTTACCACTTTAATGATACTGTAATTATGATAATTTTCCTTTTTGAAGCTTGAAAGCCTCAGTCCCCATGAGTAATAATGCCATGGAAAGATCAACCAGCAGGTCTGGAGCCACATAAGGGAATTATTTATTTACTTTAAAATATTTTATAAAATTTATAAAAGAATTTAGGGAATTTGAGATGTGATGCTCTTATCAGTTAGTGGAAAATGTGTCACAAGTCCATGTAAACTTTAAATATCTCATTGAAGGAATTTTGTTTCTTTATGCCTAAATAAAAAAAAAACTCTTTATATTTTCCTAAGTGAAGCTGAATGCTTATAAATAGGAGCACCTTTTGTTGTCATGGGCATTCATATTGTCATGACTCCTGTAGTCATACCATATAATCTCAGTTGCTTTCTTGTGTTCATGCAAATGTGCCATGGCAAGACTTTAATGAGGACACTGTTGGGAGTGGAAATGCCCAGGGAACACACACATACCAGATAAATAGAATGTACAGATAGACAGACACACTCCAGTGATCCACAAAATATACCACTGTTGTTACGTGATGAACATATGGTCTGAACTCTTTCTTTCTGACATGTGCATACATTTTAGTAATGGTAATTAGAGTCAGTGACTGCTGTCAGGTTTCTTAGTAACTGTTGAATGTTTGTCATTGGGTTTGGCACATACTTGCCTGTAGGCTGTGTGCATTTGCCCACCAGTGACAGAGAAGACATACATTAATCCCATATTTACTAAGTCTTGAGCCAGACTTCAAATAATCTTCACTAAAGAATTATTGCTGTTGGTTTAATTAGTTATTTAGCAGATATTCAAAGACCCACAGTATTTATTTCTTAAAGCCAACATCAAATTACAGTTGACCCTTTAATTTATCAATGTACAATACCTTTCAGAAGTTAATTTGGGGTCTGTTTTTTTATGGTTTTGAAAGAAGTCTCTTATGATGACCAAGGCTGCATTTATTTATTTAAAAATACAGTAATATTGTAAAATATAATCACAATTTAAAATAATAGTTTTTATTATGTTATCATGTATCATGTGATGGCAAAGCCATGCAATTTTTAGCATCATTACTCCAGTCTTTAGTGTCACATGATCTTTCAGAAATCATTGTAATGGGGTTATGTGCAACACACTTCTATATTCTAAATCTTCATAATCTAAAATGAATTCCCTTTTCTGCTGCCGTCGCCTAGGTAGGACATGTGGTCAGCAAAATTTTTTAACAAATAGCATTATACATTATTTTGGTATTGTTTTTGGTGACTGTTGTAGGAAGAGCAGCCTTTCTATAATTTTGTTTCTATAAAAAGTTACCACAGTAATTTGACTTAAACTTCCAGGTCACATCCTACATTGTTTTTGTTTTATTTGGAAATCTGTCTCTTATCAGAGTCAAATGAATACTGTTTCATGTTCCCTTCAATTACATGCTCAAAAGTGTAATGGTTATTGCTCTTTATTTTTCAAAAACCATGTTTAAATACGGCATACATGACTGTACTTTGTAGCCTTTATAAGCTCTGAAGGAATCCACGTTTGATTGATGCTGGTGGATTGTCTTTCATCTTTTGCTTTTTATTTGCCTTCTGAATGTAAGCTTTGTTACTAAACCAATCTATGCATGCAACATATTTGGTCTCCGTCTCTCTACTCTAATGTACTTTTTCCCCCCAAATTCTTCATATTTATCAGCTGACAATCGTCTCATTCACTAGCCCTAGATGGCCTAAAATGTTTTTAATGTTTTTTTTTAAAGAGCCTATAGAAAGAGCTGCCTGTATCTTACTGAATTCAATCTCTCTGTAGGTTTTCTGGAGTTCCTCCCCCAAATCTTGGCAACAATACTAAACTAGTGGACTGGATGCCTCAGAATGACCTGTTGGGTAAGTATACATCCTATCTCTCACTAAATAAAAGTACATTTTTAGAAAGTCATATAAAGTTCGAATGTTCCCTCTGGAATTTTTGGCAACACCAGTTTATGGTCCAATTCTCACAATTAACTATACGTTGCTTATTAGCATGCATCTACTCGGATAGGCTGTTTATTAGTTCTTATAAAGCACATATTAATGCCTTGTCCTGCATGACCATGTTCTAAATCCCTTAATTCTACCCAATACCAAAACTTAACAACTACCTTACTATTAATAAGCAGTAATTAGGAGTTATTTGAGGCAAAAGTCTTAATTAAAAGTTAGTTAATAGTGAGAATTGGACCCTAATATCAAGTGTGACTGAATTTTTGTTCCAGTCCTCCTTACTATTTAAATAAAAGAAGAAAATAAAGTGATCAACAGTGACAAAGACTTTTTCATTGTTACAAAATATTGTATTTCAAATAAAGGATGTGCTTTAGAAATGTATGTTCTTCATTAAAGAATCCTCAAAAAAATATCCACAAAAATATTAACATTAAGTATTAAAATATGAATTAAGAAATGTTTCTTGACCACCAAATCATCATTAGAATGATTTCTGAAGGACCATGTGACACTGAAGACTGGAGTAATGCAAAATCGCGGCTCAAAATTGAGTTTTGCCATTGCAGGGATAAAAAAAAAATGTTTACACTAACAAATTTCATATTGCAATAATATTTCACCATATTGCTGTTTTTCCTGTATTTATGATCAAATGTAACCTTTGTGAGCTTTGGGGAATTTGCAACAACAAATTCTTACCAATTCCAAACTTACCCTGTTGGCTGATCTTTTTTTTTTTTTTTTTTACTTTCTATTTTTACTTTGCATTTACAGTATGTTAAGTTTAAAAATATAAATTAAATTGAAAAACACAAAAATTGGTCTATAACTTTTATGCAGTTTTGCCTCTCAAGTAAATTATACCCTGTTTTAAGGCTGTTTAGATATTTTTACTGGAAAACCGATTTAGAAAACGATTTTTTATTATTATTAGTGTGTGTGAAAGGGAGAGAGAGAGAGTGCATCCTCCTCACTGCTCTTTTCTCCATCTCCTAGGATAATGTCTCTGTTGTCTTACACAAAGCCTGCGTGTGTGTTTGTTTGTGTGAATGAGTTTCTGTCTCATTGTACACCATGGGCTTGAGGTCACAGAGGACCTTTATGTCTCCATCATTCTGTCTTTTCTCTCTTTCTCTCACTGTCTTTCTGCTGTCCGCCACACTTCCTGCTCTCTGAATGACCTAGTTTATGCATCCTGTGCTTTGGTCTTCCATTAGTTTTTATCTTCTCATTCAACCATAAGTAATGACTAGAAAAAAGTCTGATACTCAAAGTCGATAGACAGGGTGAATTTCTTCTCTGAGGACACTCAGCTGTTTAACACAAACACCTATTTGTTTGAGGTTCAGCTGGACTAAACTTCAAGATCAGTGACCTATGGTCAAAACTGTCACAGTAAACATCAATGATTAACTTCCATTTTAATCAGAGCCTGAAATGCACTTAAACACACTGTATGCAGCTGAGCTTTATGCATGAAATGAAACAGCCCTGCTTTCATGTCAGTACCAGTGAGAAAGTGATACACACTCCACCCTATCCATGAGAAGCCTCGGACAAATTTACAAAAAAGTATGCAAATTAACCTTTGATTTCCCTATGTGTCTTTTAAATGTATTTTTAAAAAGATATGAGAGTACTAAATAGCTAATGTACAGCGATTCTGAAAGGGTCAATAAAACTCTTTGTTCATTGTAACTCATACAGAGGAAGAAGTGTTAGCAGGCACAGGGAGGAACGAGTACAGAGAAGCAACTGAATGAAAAACTGCTTACTATTAAATCAAGCTTGTCAACATTAATTTTATTGGAATTATGGCAGTTTTACTTTATAGTTTTTTGGAATTTTGTGAGGCACACATCACTATTACTGTCTCCTGAATACAAAACCCTCAATATTGAACATTGGTGTGTAACGCATCTCACACTGTTTATGCCATGTACATGAATTATACATCTAATCGCTTATCAATGACAGGTGTGCCTTTACTTTTCCAAGCAATCAGACTCACAGATGATAAATGGGCAAATCAGTTATTTGGAGAGTTAAAATGAAGGAGACAGAATATTATAGGTGGGCTCATTATAGGGCCAATAACCCCCCAGAACACCTTAGGGTACGTCTACATTAATCCAGATACAGTTAAAACCAGCGTTTTCGTTTCAAAACACTCTCCATCCACATTAGCTTTTTTAAGCATTTTCCAAAAGTTTCTAGTCCTCACTGAAACATTGGAAAATGCTAAATTCACCTAACTGCACGCAATTAGATGATATCAAGGGTGGGCAAAGTAACATATTTTAACAACTGTGTGAAAGTAAATAGCACAAACAGGCATTTTCAGTGTGAAAGCAAATAGCATATAACACGCATTTTCATCACATCACCCCAATCCTACGTTCTCTGGTTACCAGTCCGATTCAGAATTGATTTTAAAATGTTATTATTTGTTTATAAATCTCTTAGCAACCAGGCCCTCAAATACCTTTCTGATTTAATTATGACTCATAACCCATCCAGATCACTCAAATCAAGAGATCAACATCTTTTGGCTGTTCCACGATCTCGCTTAAAACGCAGAGGTGATCGAGCTTTTGCAGTAGTCGGCCCTAAGCTGTGGAACACCCTACCACCACTACATATTAAATCAGCTTCCACACTAGCTGAATTCAAATCTTTGCTGAAAACACATTTTTCTCTAGTGCGTTCAATGTACCATAACTTGTATGTTTTTTTTGTCTTGCTTTGTTTAGTCTTTCTTACTTTACTATACAGCACTTTGGCCAACCAAGGTTGATTTTAAATGTGCTCTATAAATAAAATTGTTTTGATTTGATTTGACAATACCGGTATAAACATGAATATCCATCGGTTCAATATGCATCACATGACTAAACGTGTCATCGTTTTCAAATGCCTCTGTTTTCACAATCCACACTGCAACGCGAAAACCACAGTATCAGCAGCATTAAAAAAACACATTGGCATCTGCACAGCAATGCTCTGGCAACCACCCATAACATCCTAAAACATCTTTACAACGACTCAAAAAAATAGTTATTAATGTTACCATGAAGAGGAGCCATCCATCCAGTAACCCTGTTGTTACTTTGGTCTCACTCAAAATGCCACAGTTAAATGATGATTACAATACAGAAGCTATGGTAAATGTTCAGGGATTCATGGTATTTGTTTGTAAATTGCACATTTTTCAGTATAATTGTAGTTTTTTTTTTTCACTCACATTGGATCTCTTGTTCACCCACAGGACAGACAAACACACGGGCCTTCTTGAGCCACGGGGGCTTGAACAGCATCTATGAGGCCATGTATCACGGTGTGCCCGTGGTGGGTGTCCCGCTGTTTGGAGATCACTATGACACCATGACACGAGTTCAGGCCAAAGGCATGGGCATAATGCTTGAGTGGAAAAGGATGAGTGCGGAAGACCTTTATACTGCCATGGTTAATGTCATTACAGACAAAAGGTAAATCATATGTATAAAATGAATTAAGTGCATTGTTAAACACACACACACACGTGCACGCACGCACACACACACACACACACACACACACACACACACACACACACACACACACACACACACACACACACACACACACACACACACACACACACACACACACACACACACACACACACACACACACACACACACACACACACACACACACACACACACACACACACACACACAATGTTTGTCAAAAAACAGGTAATATTAATACAAACCCACACACACAGCCACGTTAAATTTTAATGACTGTGGAATTGGGGTTACTCAAGTTTAACGATAAATAAGACATTTTGAAGACCCCACAATGGTGTCAATATTTGCAGATCCATAGTGTTTCAACAAATCCAATGGAGCCAAAGAGCAACGTAGTCTACAAAATAGTTTCTAGGGACTGAATTTTAGAGCTTTTAGTTGTATTAAAGAGACAGTTCACCCCCAAAATGAAAACTCATTATTTACTCACCCTCATATTGTTAAAAAGTTTCTTTTTAGCTTAAAACACAAAAAATAGATGAGACATTAAGCAAATAGATAATTAGCAAATGTATCAAAGATGTTTTTTTTCTCCTAAAATTAAAGATTGTGTTCATAGAACTTATTGTAGAATTTTAGATCCGTATAGGTAAACTAGTGTTTAGGAAGAGAAACTATGGTACAGTGCCATCTTGTGGCCAAGATCAACATCATGTTGGTGATGTGCTTGTGCTGTCTTGGATGTTCTGAAACCTCTCCATCTCTCTTTCTATTAAGGTATCGTGAGCGAGCGCAGTTGCTGTCTCAGATTCATAAAGATCAGCCTGGTCATCCAGTGAATCGGGCAGTTTACTGGATTAGCTATATACTCCGTCACCATGGCGCCGATCACCTCCGCACTGCAGTCTACGAGATCCCCACCTACCAGTACTTCTTATTGGATGTTTTCGTTGTGATAGGAGTGTGTCTGCTTCTTCTTGGCTACTGCCTATACCGAATAGGCAAGTGCATTCAATCACGAGTGGGGCGCGGTTCATCTCCAGGGGAAAAGGTGAATGGACACTGTCATAATGGAATTCCAAATGGCAAGCACAAAAGAAATGGCCATGTTAGAAGTACAGATAAGAAACTAAAGTAAAGCACTAGGAGAAATCAACACTAACGCTTTACTAAAGAGAGGAATTAACTACTCTTCACTCAGAGCAGGGCCTATCCAGGAAATAAATACATGGGTCAATAAAGAAACAAACCAACCATTATAACAATGAACTGTAAGTAGGAAGCCAAAGTAAGGAAGAATGGAAGGAAACCTGAAAACATAAATGGAAAACTCCCGAGGATGTTTTTTTCCCTGTTGAGTGGAGTTAATGTTCAGTTGTTCAATGGTCCTGAATGTTGAGTTTATCCTTGTGGAAAAAGGTTTTGAAGTTAAGAAATGAGTGGTTTTAACAAGAAGTTATCATGGGGCATCAGGTTTGACTACATCCAAATACAATAAAGATCTCTATCTATTTATATAAATTTCATACTTTTTTGGGCACAGATCACTGTTGACTTTTGTGCACTGAACTTAATTTATGTTCTATATTTATTTCTTACGCACTCCGTCCCTTCATTTTCATTTCTTAAGCAAAATTAATTCTTGGACATTAGCATGCTAGCCTAGCATATTTGCCCATGTTTATGTTGCAAGCCTTGCCTTAATCTTTAAATATATCTAGCATGTTTTGCTAACTTACAACTTCATTCCTTGTAGAGAAAAATCTGCACAAGCTAATGCTGCTAGTTGCTATATTGCTGCAAAATGCTAGAGCCTTTGTTGAGGATAGTTCAACTTCAAATCTTGCTTCCATTTACAATAATTTGGGATTCTTAGAGCCAGTATACTGGTATACTAACATTCTTAGAGCATATTTACCACTTATCCCCTTTTGCTTTGTTATTCTCAGCTCGCGTCATTTAATGAATTTATAGCACAACTTTAGTTTCTCTTCAGAAGGGTGCAGATCACGTGTAACATCCCTTCACACAGTCCTCTTGTTGGCAGATATGGGTTCAAATGAGCAAAATTATACATTTTATTTGAATTAAGCCATTTACCCTATTCTGTTGCTTCATGGATGTTTAGGTTTTAAAGTCCTCAGTTCATCTTTACTGTATGGTTTCTTTCATTTAGCAAATCATAGGAGGAACAGTAATTTCCTGTGTGTCTCAAAATGTCCCAAACAAACTACATTTTTATTATAACGTGTATCAGACTAGTGTTGCTATCAAAGCAAAAGTCTGTTTACTTACATGTTCCCACAAATCAATAAACCCAGAGTGACCTGGAGGATTTTTGTACTGTAATTAACATTTCCCCTGGTGCTCTACTGCTTCTTTTAACTTTCAGCCTTTTTCATCAACGGACGTTCTGTGAAAGGCGATTTTTGGTAACATTTCAATCTAACATTTAGTTCTGCAACTTTTCAAAATATGTTTTGAAGTGGCAATAAACAGAACTTCTGCAAATTATTTGTGCGTTAAAGTGCATACACACCCTCAGAGTTTTTATTTTATTTTTATGCCACTGGACAACCTGTTATAAAATCACATGCTGGTTTTACAACTCAATGTCAGACTGATCTGTTGCCAGTAATGGTCTCAGTTTGGAAGTGTATAATTGTTTTAAATGCACCACAACATTTGAAATGCACTTATTTTATCAAAATACAAAGTGGTACGTTACATTTAGGTTTTTATGAAGGACTATGAAATTGTGGACATATTTAAGCCAGTAGGCATAGTTATTTGCAATAAGTGGAGATTATAAAGGTTATCAGTTCTTGAAAAGTGTTGTATAATACATTACAGCAATGTCATGTTGTACCACTGTTCATTTACCGTAAACCATATTTTTTCTCAGATCACCAAAACACCATCACCTAAGAACTCAAAACCAAAATAACCGAAATGAAGAATTATTGAAGTCATAAAAATTGGAAACTGTTTTTACCATGAGGTTTAAAGCATTTCTTGAGCCAAGCACTGTTTTAGACTGTCCATACTTGAAAATACACTGGCTGCAAATGCATTAGAGCTATGACTGGTGAAACAGTGACACACACTCTGAACATCATAATTATTTTGTAGTTTGTTTTGTATGATTTTCAGTATTAATATTAGATGGTTAACAACAGAGAAAAAAGCTGCATATGGGCTCTGACATTAAAGGCTGTGTGTGTGTGTGTGTGTGTATGTGAGTGGTTATAGATTGTGAAACATGTATGCGTGTACATTTGAATGGGGTTGCTTGAGCCTACTGTACTTGTGCCCAGCTTTCACTTTATATACTGATGATTTAAAACCAATGCTCCAGTTCACAGTACACCAATGCCTTTCTTTGTCTCTTGTAGTCTGTTTCCTGATCAAGTCCTTGTAGAAGTAGTCATTAAAAGCTGCTCGCAGGAGTTTAGTCTTTTCTTCTTTCTTTTTATTCATAATGATTTCACGTGTGTCTGTGTTATCATGTACATACAAAGACAAACAAAAGTACTAATGCTAAATAAACATTAAACATTTTGTTTGCTTATTCTTGTCATCTGATGATTATCTCTTGGTTGTGTAAGATGTTGCCACCTGTAACACCAATGGAAATTCAGTGAGCTAGTCTGAAAGTCACAGGGCACATGCGTGGTGTCAAGTTCCACTGTCCTGAAGTCTTGGTTTTTCCCATGACCTCATTAATAGTTTTGTCTAATCCTTATTCTGAAAAATGTTTTTGCATGTGCGTTTGGTGCTATCAGGTTGATACGCTTTGCTAACTCACTACTGTTATCCTGTGAAAATGGTAAAGCGCTTAGAATTATTTATCAAACCATTGTTTTTTTCATTGTTTTTCATAATAATTGTTTATTTATAATGTTATTTTACAATACATTTTGCAATAAAAAGACAGCAGGGTATTTTTCTGATTTCTTAGTTAACAGATGACTGCGGTGGGAGATGAGGGAGTGTAAAACTACACACCTGTTGGACAGCAGGTATCAGGTGTTGTCCTTATGTTTTCAGCGCTGTCACACTAGATGGGTGTGTATCCAGAAAATACTTGTGTGTGTGTTGATTAAGAGATAAACTGACACATTATCCCATCTTTATCTTAATTATTCACTGAGAGTTTAGCAGATAATCTGTGTATTAGTATGCATGTTTGTGAATTAAGACTGTTTAGTGCTAATTAAACAGTTTTTTCTGGTTTCACAATTAGACGACACATGCTCATTGAAAAAACGTGCCTGTGGCGACATTCCTGCTAAATTATATTACATTGCTTCTTGCACATTTCGCAACACTTTCAAAGTGAAATGTCCAATGAGCATGTCCAGTTTTATTTTTTTAAATGAACGTGAATGTTTTATTACTTTGGTTGTTGTACATATCTCTGCATTTCAGAAATGAAATGGTATCGCGTTTAAAAACAATGAATCCTACCCTAAACCGAACCGATAGGTTTAACAGAAGCAAATGTGACATTAAAATGCATTTGCTGAAACTACAACTGCAAGCCATTTTAGCTTGCTTCTACAAGTCTTTTTTTGTGACCTGTGTTTATCGAGACTCATACACGATGCTGTACCAGGTGAGCTACCCCAAGTTTACTACATCAGAAAAGCTATACAGATGGAGCTGGTTATGTGCATGTAAACATCAAAATGTACTACGGTCAAGGTGTACCGATATGAACATTTTAGCCGATACCGATAACCGATAATTCTTTATATTTGAAATCCGATAACTGATATATTGGCTGATAAATCTAAATCCAAATTCTTATATCATTTTTGAGAGCCTGATTAAAAAAACAAAAGTCTCACTATAAAAAGCCATGTCCCAAGCACACAATTATCATGTTCTCATTATAATTTATTGTAGCCTATATGACAGACTGCACATGTTGCGCTTAACTGTTTTTTTAATTGGTTTCAATCATGTTTCAAGGAATTCAAAACCACCATGACTAACAGTGCGAATCTGAAGGGTCTCAGCTCAGCTGAAGGAAATAATCCATTATTTATCGTCTTTAATATATCGGCTAAATCTTCTTATCGGGCCGATAACATTAAAAATGAATATATATCGGCCAATACCGATATGGTGCCCATTATATCGTGCCTAGTATTGAGATCATATAGTTTTTTGCAAGAAACCGTGCAAAAATTACGTTTTTATTCATCAATAATCTGGCCCTATAATCACAATGAAACAGAATGGATCATGTGAACAGGGATAACATTTTTTGGTGTTGTACGGCCACTAGTGTGCATTTCAGCTTGAAACTGCATTGAATTGTATGAAGTTTTGCAAAAATGTACAGTAGAGGCACATTTTTCCAATAAGCCTAAATTGCAATTAGAGTGTGCTTCTGGCAACATGGAGCATGAGTAGAAGATTCAGATGTGATCCTCTTAGCTCTTTTGGAAGCTTCTTTTCTCTTGTTGCCTCGTCAGTGTGTTCAGATAATTGATATGTCCTTCATGGTGGCAGACTTCAATCGATTTACAGGTCAGAGGTCGAAAAAGGAGGAGCAAGGAAACAAGCTTCAATTAGAGTTCTGAGAAACACTCCTTCTTCATTGCAGAAAGGTGCCTTGATTCTAACCTGACAGGCTAATGAGGCCTCAACCCTAACATGACCTGATCAGCCGGTCAGGCACAAAGCAGGGCACCTTGAATGTTTTTGAGCCAATTACAGTAAATGTCATGAGACTAACCACTTAAGAGCCAAGGGGAAATTATGTCATGACAACACTTCCTGGCTGATGGCACCACAAGAGCATGCAATCCCAAATCCTTCATTACTGACCTTGACAAGCCTAAAGGCAGGGCAAAAGATAAGCACATAGTTCCCTAAAAACTATAAAATAGTCAAATATTACCCATATATACAGGAAGTATTCAGAGCCATGCTGATATAAAGGCACATCACAGACTGCAATACTGATATTGATTTATAAACTCAGCAAAAAAAGAAAAGGAAAAAAAAAACAAGACCCTGCATCTTTCTTTTGGTGTTTTTCAGAGTCAGTAAGGTCTCTTTAATGTTATAAAACTGTGACTTCAATTGAATTGAAAGAAAGTCAAGTTATATCGTTTCTTCGCCATTTTGGTTGATCACATCCTGAGCAAATGGTCAATTGTAGAATGGGATGGGTGTGGGACAGAGAAAACCATCTCAGACAATGGGATGTCTCAACTTCATTAACATACAGACCACAGCTGTTGCAACAAGAGCAACTTCATTTACATTAAGAGTGGTAAACTGTAACAGGATAAAAGGGTTAAGCTTTGGATGTTCTGGGTTCAGGCTGTGAACCCAAGGTGCTTCGTGTACTTTGCTATGCTGTAATAAACTTCACTTTTGAGATCTTCGACATCCACATAATTTTTTCTTACAGTGTCCTGTTGTATCTGGCACCAAAGACATTAAAAGCAGCAGATCCTTCAAGTCCTGTTGCGAGGTGCGAACTTGTTGGTCCAGCTCAA